TTTCCAATACCACTGGCATTCTCAGGAAGAAGTATTATCTTTCAGTTTGGCTTTTTTTTTTCTTCGTGCTTCATCATTCATCAAGTAAACATCATGGTTCTAGTGCGTTCATTGTGAAATAAGTTATATCCCACAAAATCTCTGCATTTTATTGATGTTGATGTCTGTTGTAAAATGCACATGGTCTCTGCTTGGTCTTTGCAGTGGAAATTAGAAATTGGCAAAGATGGGTATTACAGAGAAATCTCTATCTGTTTTTTTTAATAACGGCCCTCAGGTGTGATTGTCAGATTCACAATTTAGTTGTAAATCCAAAAGATTAACACATCTGTGTGTACATTTATTGATGCAAACATGTATCTTCTGACTTTGTGGGCTGTGGCATGGCAAGTATTCACTCGGCAATTAAAAAAAAAATCTGCATATTTTAGATCTCAACATATCACTTTCATTAGCATCTACCCCTTTCTTATACTTTGATGTGTTTTACATGTCTACCAGTTTCTGTAAAGGAAGCTATGTATGTGTGTTCATTATAAAAGAAATGTGGAGTCAGGTTGGCGTAGCGGTACTTTCCTCGCCTTCCACTACTGTGACAAGGGTTCGAATCCCGCCTGGGCCAATATGTGGATTGGGTTTTCTGTCCCTACATGATTCCGTGGGTTTTCCCAAGAATATTCTTCTGGGGTTTTCCTCCCATCACTAAAACTGTAATTTCTTCTCATTGTCTCCTCTCGACTGGTTTATTCAGGCTTTCGAGCTAAAGTGTTTAGGGAACTTTTGAGGAATCCTTGGTTTTATTACCAGAAGATTTGTTTAAACTTTAAAAAAAAAAAAAATGATAATGGAAGGGCCTGGAACAAGCCCTCGCAATTATCTCAAGAACTGAACATGTAAATTGGTGAACAACACACTATTGAAGCTCAAGAGCCCTTCACTAGCACTTGTTGGGCTAACACAGTACCCAAGGCGCTTTTGAGAAAATCATTGGTTTCATTACCAGAAATAAATGATGATAATAAAAAAATATAAAAAACTTGCTTGGTATGTAACACATACATGTAGTTGTCTGCAGCTCAAAACCAACTTTGGATACACTCCATGAAAGTGGCCACAATTTATTGTACACACATAGAAGAAAATAAAAAAATCAACAGCTTCATTTATCATGGACACAATGCATAGTTCTGCTTCATAAAACCCACGCTGGTTGGCAAGTAATGTTTCTGTAGCTTGAAGTTGGCTCATGCAGACATAATGCCTGAATCAACGACTACAGAACTTCAGGCCATCATTGAAAAGTATGAGCCCCTACAAATTGCACACTAAACTGTGAAACTACGAAACACAATACACAAGGGAGCTCCCCATACATGCTTGATGAATCTCTATTCTATGAGGAGATAAAGATTTGCCTCCTGGTTCTCAAAGCTTCTTAAATCTCTGTCACTATTCTTGCAGTCTTTTTGGGACACAATGCATAGACGCTGGATATGTACGTAATGCACAGTGTGGATTGGCAGGGATATATTGAAAACGTTGCTCAACCATGAAAACTGTTATTTGTTGAGTAACGCCGCGTATCTGTTGTGTGCATTCGAGGAATACAAAAAGTAAAGGTGCAGGGAATTAGATAGACATGCACATTGCTGAAAAAAAGTCTTGGATTTTAAAATGTCTGGTGTATGTACTCTACATACCGGACATTTTGATTCCAACCTATTTAACAACACACGATATGTATACTTTATACACTGTATGTTGTGTTTTTTTCCACAAATACGAAACTTGAGCGGTAAATTTTAAAAATAATTCCCATGTCCAGAAAGTAACATTGGCAAAGCAATCCGAAAAATGTGTGTGAACAAATTTAGTAAGTTAATAAAGAGAAGAACAACGATCAAAGGTTTTAGCCATAGGCGATCATTTTTGGACAAACTGTTAAAAAAAGTGTGCAAATTAACTTGCCTTAATCCATGGTAAATTGCAGTACATTTAAAACTGTGCTTGTTTGCATCTTAAATGTATCTCATGTTAGTAAATTACACCAAAAAAAACACCTTGAATTGAGAAAAAAAAATGATCGCAAGAAGAAAGTAAATATATTTTCCAATTCAGATTTGGCTTGACCAATAGCATTCCATTTGTAGTTTGAAAAACGACTATCTAAAAAAACTCATGTCTTTAAAAAAAAAATGTTAAAAAAAAAAAAGGATTTGAAAAACCCTGATGATATAACTCATTTGATATTTGCCCTCGAACAGACTAACTCCTAGATACACTTTCAACAGACTTGTTATTCTGTGGCGGTACTTTGCCAAAAAAAAAGAATCTGTATGCGAAAAATTCCTTAAGCTTTCTCACAGATGCCAAGCGGCACATCTTTCCACGTTCTTCCTCATCTGTGATATTAATTTGATCAGCGACAGTTCCCTTATCCCTGTTTAATTACTGCGTGGCTTCTGGCCTCAAGGCATTCCAATGCCATGGGTTTATATTATTAATTTGCAGCATATTCCGGTCTTTAATGGAGTGCACATGGTGGTCAGTGGCCTGGGCCATATTTCACGAAGCTTTAAGCAGAATTTTGTTTATTTATTTGCATACATGTATTTATAATATGAGCTTAAATCGGCTGGGAACCAGTCACAGGCAATATATAATGTAAGGCAGTTTGGCTGGTAACCACTTTTTGCTAAACAAATAATATATGTGCTCAGCAATTAATTACAATGCTTGTTAGCTTCATGTGATTTTGCCCTGGTTGGATGTATTTACACACAAAAATGTAAATACCATTTGGAAAAAGTATTAAATTTCTCTCTGAAAAGCATTTTATAGAAAAACCTATCTGAAAAAATTGACTTATTTGCACTTGTAAGTAATGCAAGTCAGACGAGGCAAAAGTTGTGACTTTTAATTTTAAAATGTTCTTGTGATAATTTAATTGTACACTCAATAGCTTCACATGAAGTGAAATTTTGACAGATTTGTTCTTCTCAGAATTTATGCAGAGTTTGACGCTAGTGGCTTCTCGCGTCCTATCAAACAAAAGTGAATTCTCTTTGAATTGATGACATTGAATGGAAACATGACATACACGTATGTTGCACAGGGAGGGGCTATAAACTGAATATGCCACATTCCCAATTGCTTCTTTGACATAGGTCACCAGGCCAAGTTGAATATTTACCCAAAACCACACGCAATTAGCATATCAATAGGAGACATCTATTGACATTTGCAGTATGTAGCAAAAGCCCAATGTGGGGAACTGCACAGAAAACTTTACAGAGAAAACATTGGGTTGTAGGCTGAAGACCAAAGTCTAACGATAGAAGTTTAGAAATAGCAGTGCACCTGCATGTATGCCTAACTTGTAATAATAACATAATAACAGTCTATAAATTGCCTTAATTGGGGGTAAGGTTTCAGAACTGAAGTTTCAATTTGAATCATCAGAGTGATTTATCAAACAAATTGTTATGACATTATTCGAAGGTGATAAAAAAAAATGGGAACACCAGAATTTCTGAAATTGCCTTTAAATGTATCATCTCCACCCACAAACTTCAGTGGGTGCTGCAACAGTGCGGGTCAGTGAAAAGCAATTACAATTTGATGGTTTGTATGGAAATGGAGATCATGTAGAAAGCGTCAAGCCCAACAGTAAAGCAAAGTTATAGAAAGTCTGTTTTCAGGCCCTCAGGACTTCCAAAGGAGTGGACAGGTACCTTATAATGGCCTTACAAAAATACAATAAATGTGCCATTGGGTTCCTGTGCAGTAGCGGATTTTAGAGGCTTCTGAAAAAATGCCTGCAATTTTGCTCTAAATTTAACAAATCTGTAAAACTATGATCATCCAGTTTCATTATGTGGCCTCTTGCTGGGTTCAAACCCAATGTACACGCACTGTCATCATGCCAGCACACCCAGCAGTAAAGTGCAAAGTCTACAACATTGATATTTGCTCCATGGAAACCGTTGCGAGTCTGCGACTCTTTTGTCAAACTTAACCTAGTGAACTAGTAAAGGTTTGCATTGTGAATTGACAGGGGAAATAACGATAGAGAGTTATAAACCAAATAAATGAAGATTTCGATAGAGGAAGATACAGGGAAATTATCTCTGTATGGGTCATTTAGTACAGCCATCATATTATTTCTGTTGACAGAGATTGATAGATGTTCAAAGTTTCTGAAAGTTCACGATAGCTTTGAAAAAAAAAGATTTCGCTACCTGAGCTGTTATGACTTTTTAGCCTCGAGCCTTGCGCATCTTTTGATACCAAAAACATAAAAATAGGACCACGGGTAGCCGCGCAACGAAAACTTTTCCAGCGCTATGTGCCGTGAAAACTGAATTTTCCCATATACGTCGTGTACATAGAGCAGAATTACCATTTGTACATATGAATAATTAATTAGCCATAATTCCAAAACCCTTTGACCTATAGTCATGAAATTTCTTGGGTATGTTCATGATAAGTTGCTCTATCATCTATGAATGTACCGAGTTTCAAAACTTTTCGTCACTCGACTGAGAGATGGTCAAAATAACCCAGCCCTTTTAGAGTTAAAGAAAAAACATGAAAAGTGGGACCGATGTAAAGAATAGCCCCGTTCCATTTTAAACTAATTTAGCAATAGGAAATGACTGGAACTAAGCATGCCACAAAACATCATACATGTACGTACATACAAACATGTACATATAACGTGTACATGTGTATATGAGCTTGCTCAAGCATTATGATTTTTTTTTCCAAGTGAGTTGTTTATTAATCAATAAAAAATCTCAAACTCTGCTTCACCCTTTCAAACTTAATATACCAGACATGTTCTACATGCATGGTGCATACACAAGTAGAACTAGGAAACATGTCATGAATGGCATGCAGTATGCTGTGCCAAGAATTTAGAGGTAAAACATGTATCTCATGTCAGAAATTGAATGGGTTATTATCATGTCTTGTCTTTCCTCTTCTCTTTGCTCCAGATCGTGAAAAATCCTGGTGAGAAACTCGGCGTCGGCATCGAGGGTGGCTCGGACACGTCCAAAAGCTGCATATACGTTAAGACCATCGCCCCCGGATCAGCCAGCCGCCGCACTGGTAGACTGCGCATCGGGGACCAGCTACTGGACGTGAACGGTAACTGCATGGTGGGCATTACCAACGCCCAGGCCATGAACCTTCTGGAGGCCGCCCCCTCCCACATCACGCTAGTCGTTGCCCGGAAGAAACCGGAAGAAAGCTCATACGCGTCGGACACGGACGAGGAAATCACGGACCTGGCGACGGAACTTGCTCATGCCGTAACAATGGACGGTGCCTCTTCAGACGAGGATTCAAGTACCAAAATCATTAGGGGACACGGGAGACTAGACAGTGACGAGCCAGACTCTGTATTTTCGGGAAGTAAGTCCTCCACGCCAGAGCCGCCGTACAGCCCAAATTCAGACGGTGGCCCCAGCCCAAGGAAAACCGCATTCCCTAAACTCAGCATGGATGGAGATGAGCCGGACTCCAAGAGCGTGGTCATGAGGAAAAAGATCAATGAAAGAGCAAAGAGGAATTTCCCTATGGGTGAGTATGAGGCCTCATGTTGAGGGAAAAACTCATCCATGTTTAGCTCCCAACCTCTGACACATATCCTCAACAGCCAGAAGCCTGATTCATACCAGAGACAAATTTCAGGGAGCTTCATGGCACAAAAAACTGTTAAGCTCAAAGTAGTTACTTAGCAGAAAATGGTTACCATCCCAATTGTATGATGTACATTGCCTGTAAACGTTTCTCAGGTGATTTTTTGATGAAGCTTGTAAATATGGTTAGCACATATATTTTGCTGGGTATCGTATTCTTTTTAATCCCCCCATGTATGAAGATCAAGTTCTCAGACCACAGTGGGTTTTTTTTCTCTGATTGAACTTTAGAGAAAGGAGAGGGCAGAGGGTCCTGAGATTGTATCCCCCCAACACACACACACCCTTACATAGGCATAGAAGTGGGGTACTTCCTTTTGCAATGTCGCACACTAACTTCAAAATGCTCTTATTTTAACCAGAATTAATTTCCTGGGCTGAAATTTGGACTTAATATCCCTTTTCTAAAACTCTTCCATTTGCGACAGATCAACCAACCTTGGAAATTCCTAGTTTTTTTTAGTAAAATCCATATATCTATTTTGTGAAAAACTTGTGGGGTACCAAAACGGTACCCCACAAGTCGGTGGGCATTCCTTGTGGGGTACGTCCCATTGTTCAGGTACCCTGTAAGGCAGTGTTTATACGTTCATTTAAGGGTGAATCTGCCTGCAATCGGGGACCCCCTATTGTCCCTCTTTTGTTTGTACGTTCTTAATTTTTATATTTTTTATTTTACTGTATTCTGGGTTCTCTCTTTTTGTTTCAGAACGAGATCCGCGAGGACTCTTGGAGCGTTCCTGGTCAGAGAGTTCCACCTCCACCATCCTGCTATCCACCAGCGAGCTGGAGAAGCTGATAGAGGACGCCAATGAATCCCTGGATGACATGACAGACAGCAACGTGTCGGTCGTCATCCTGCACAAGGAGAACGAGACCCAGGGACTCGGGCTGACTGTGTCCGGAGGCATTGACCAGGAGAAGAAAGAAATAATGGTAGGTCCACGATCCATCGCTGGGCAATTTGGAATAGGCACTTTGCAGTCAGTGGCCATCTTAGAGGTATTATGAGTTACTTTACTTCATTTACAGTGCGTGCAAAAGATGTCATCAATTATTTTATTCATAAGATGGAATTTGCGTCGGGGAGATGTAAATCACACTAACGTATAAACACTATATTCTCAATGAATTACCTCCCGATTGAAAGTTGGAAAAAATCACACGGGAGGGACTCGAACCCACGACCTCCTGGTTTCTAGTGCAGACATCTTAAACCACTCGACCACCGAGCTAACGGGATCGGTTGGCTGGTTCGAATCTGATGCACAATCTAGCAGCGGATACCGCAATTAAATTATTTGTAAGATGGAATTTGTGTCAATTATTTGTTTTATGTTTAAAAAAAACAGGTGCATCGGGTGATACCCAACGGGCTGGCTGATCGCACTGGGCGCATCCAGCGGGGAGACCGCGTGCTATCCGTCAACGGCCGGGTCCTGAAGGATGCCACTCACACTGAGCTGTTGGAGATGCTCAAGAGCAAACGGCAGGACGTGGTGCTGGTGGTGGCAAGACACCACGTTCCTGAAGAGGGTAAGGTCACATACATGTAGATGACGATCAAGAAATGTTCTCATTCTATCAGATATACACACCAGAATCCCTTTGGCTTCCCACCAAACAAACAAAAATCCAACAAAATTTTTTTTTCAACAAACAAACAACCCAATAAACAACAAAAATTCAATTTTCTTTGTTTTTTGATTTTTTTTGTTTTTGTTTTTGTTTTTTTAATAATTAAGCCAAAAAAGAGTGAAGACAACTCTTTAGAAATCGATACAGTTGTCTGTTCATTGTCGTTCAATAGATTTGCAAAATGTTGATAGAAAGAACGAAAAGAAAAAAGTGGAAAAGAGGTCCCCCATGCATCATCTGAATGATGATGATTAAATACAATATATTACACAAACTACATCTTTTGCATAGAGCATTAATAATTCAAATATGGAGAGTATTTAACAAAAAAGGAGTTGATCTCCATGTCACAAACATGAGGCCGTTACTCTGGTGTTAAGAATCAAAAGCCACCGACAGTAAATGGATATTATTTGCAATGGTGCATATTCAGAGTATATAAAATTGTGCGTACTTCTGGCTATTATATGCACGCAAACCAGTACGTGCATGCTGTGTCACATCCACTGCCCTCTAAAATAGCTCCCTCTCTTGTTCACGCATGGAGCACATAGCTGAACTCCTCAAGTAGACCATTCAAAAGCAACCTTCCTGTTATTTTTAACAATTTCTTTTCAATTAGCAATCACACATATAATACTCGGTCCTCTAAACATAAATACACTCAAGTTAAATGTAAAACCACAGCTCTCCAACACAGCATTCGCTATCAAGGCTGCAAACTCTGGAACGGATTGCCATCTTTCATTTCTGAAGCGAAGTCTTTAACTGTTTTCAAAACATTGTATAGAAACTACCTGCAAGGAAATTGATTTTGTTTTTTTTGTTTATTACTACTTTTCCACTCTCACAGTGTTTACATTGTACATTGTTTTATACATACATTCTTGTCTTTATTAAGTTAATGGAACATCTTAGGTTGGGGTGGGGTAGTTGGGTGTAACGGGAACACTTGGGATTTTCTCTCGGGGGTGGGGGGTGGGGGGTTTAAAAGGGAGTGTTTCATAAGTCCTTGGACTTCTTACAACTTCCTTATAACTTCTCTGCTTTTCATTTATCTTTGTTACTTATCCTTGTCATTTACTTTTATGTTTTGTTTATCTATTAAGTTGCGTACTTTATATGTTTTCATTATGAAGTTATGAAATAAACTAGATTGATTGATTGAAGGATTCAGTAGTTTATCCTGCTTGTCTCATCCAACAGAAGAGGAATCGCCAGCCTCTGAGATGGCCGATATCGAGATGGCCAAGGGGCCGGCCGGGCTGGGCTTCAGCGTAGAAGGCGGCAAGAGCTCCCCAAAGGGTGACCTCCCGATCACCGTCAAGAAGATCTTCACTGGCGGGGTGGCCAATCGCAGCGGGCAGATACATGTCGGGGACGAAATCGTGGAGGTCAACGGCAAGAAAATGGCCCCCATGACCCATTTTGAGGCCTGGACCTTTCTGAAAGCCCTGCCGATTGGGATCGTGAAGATGAGGATCAGACTGGCCAAGAAAGCAGAGTAGTGCGCACCTCAGTAGGTGTCCTTGCTGAATTGGGGGAATCACTGTGCACAAAATAGTGCCCTCTGTTGACCCGGATTTGACAACCAAACTTATGCGTTCTGTTGAAAGTGAAGGACAGTCAAAAATTGCGCCCTCTGACAACGGGGATTTCCAAGCCAAAGTAACATCCTCTGTTGACAGGGATGTGTCAGCCAAAAGTGTGCCCTCTGTTTACGAGGATTGCAGAGGCAAAATAGGGCCCTCTGTTGGCAGTGATGGACAGTCAAAATAGCGCCCTCTGACAACAGGGATTTCAAAGCCTAAATAGGGTCCTTTGTTGAACCGGGATTTCATCAGCGCCAACATAGCTCCCTCGAAACAGCAGTGTGTGTGATGGATAGTATTCTGTGCTAAAAAGTTTCTGTTCAGAAAAACGTGTTGTCGAATATGTCAAGAGCTTATTCCTATAATAGTTCCTGCATGTGAACTCACTGTTGACTGAGCAGCTTTATGATGCACATTAATAGGCAGAATATTAAAGTGAAAACACTTCACCGCTGGCCACTACCGTAACGTTTGTTGAACTAGTCGACGCCTCTTAAAAATTGGCCAACCTAGTTGGCAATGTTTCCTGTTATCGTGTTTATGGCTTCAAGCTGTTCCACTGACTCCCATCAGGTAGTGAATGGAGAGGGTAGTCAAGTTCACTCCTACCCAATACCCTGTCCAAGAGGCCTGCAACCGCTCATCTCTGTCAGAAAATTTGGGAAGTGAAGATATCGCCAAGCATTGTTATAGTAAACACCGCAAAAAAAGGAGAATTCCACGCTCATTGGAAAAGTTGCAAATGTAAAAGATTACGTGAGTGGAAATTGCGCTGTGACAATGTTACACTGCCCGAAATGAAAGCCAGGGAATATCGATCCCACAGTGCTTGTATGCATTGGAGCACGCAGGCTATTTGAATGACCCCCGCTTTGTTCGGGCACTGTGCAATCTATAGCGGCCAATGACGGGCATGTGTGGTTACGCTAATTTCCCCTCTTTTAATTTGCAACTTTTCCAACTGTGTCATTTTTCATAAACCGTTGTCAATGTTGGACAATTACAGTCTTCGGTAGCAAACGGGGTATCAAAATGTAGCTTACAAAATTCCCCAAAGGTCTATATAAAAGGCATCATCACAAGACGATCAGATTTAAAATTATGACCCCTCCAGTGAGTGTGGACTTTCTTTTTTTGTGGTATTTAGTTTACTGCCAAAATCAATCCACGAACATTCCAAACACACATGTTGCGCATATGCCGAAGTGTTGACCAACAAGTGTTGTTGGTTAAACAAATCTGTCCAATGAAACTTTATAGATAATTTAAGAGATCACCAGGGCCCATGGATTGGGAAGAACAGATGAAATAGTTGACTAGCCTAAAAATAGCCCCCTCTATTGTCCATGCAGGGAGACGTTAGTGCTATATATTGGAGTCATGTCTTAGAAATGTAAATTGTGTGCTCTTTTACATTTATTCTTGCTCTTTTATCCAAGTTCTTCACGATGGACTTTTGGTGGTGACGACCACCTATTTGTTCAATGACTGGAAAATTCTTGTTGATATTATAAATATTGGTAAAAAAATTATGTCATTTTGATTATTGGGATAATGAGCAATAAAAAGCTGCCTTTATTTTTAATATTTTCTGCACATTATATGTGTGTATTGCAACTTTGTGATGCTCTATGTTTTAATTTTTTAATGAAATGAAACAATTATCGGAAGCGATTTCTTATTCATAAATAATTTAAGAGTGCAAATAGGCCGTTGGAGACTTGAGATGTTAATACACATACCCATTGATTGTGTTTATTATTTTTTCTCTTCATTTGTAATATGACAAATGGGGGAAAAAAGGAAATTAGAAGACTTTTAGTGAAATTTGCCCTTTTTTAATCACCATCCATAAGTCGTCCCAAATTTAAGCCTAATCCCTCATAAATGTTATTCTAATTTGCAGAATTTATTTTTTGTGTATAAATATTGTATTTTATTCGGTTTATTCACAACTTATGAATTTAAAAACATCTTATTCGCTCATCCGTTTTATGTATAATTTGTAAATACTTTTATTTTTATGTAAATAAACACGTGCAATATCAGTGTTCTGTCAACATAGCCAAAAAAATATCCAACAATTGAAACAACATAATGAAATACAATTCAATTTCAAATTATTTGTTCCTTAAAACTTGATTTTTTTCTTTAGTGTAGGAACCTTCTTTTACATTGTAAATCAATGACTTTTTATATTTTTCTCAGTGTTTACTCCAGAGTTGATCCATATCCGAATCAGTTTCAGGTTGGGGGGGGGGGCAATTTCAAGCAAAGGTTTGGAGATATTTTTGTTGACTTTTTGTAACAATTGTACATTTCATTGTCATTGAGCCCTAAGGGCGTTGTCCAATGTGTATAGTAATTGTAACTGCATAAATGTCCCACTTCTATTTTGTACATTTATTTTAGTGCATTAATTTTCATTTCTTTAATTGGTGTCAATCCATAAAGAGGGGACTCGCCTTTTGTTAAAGGTAGAGTCCATCATTTGTAATTTGTGCATTTTGTTCGTTTGAAGCAACAAAAGAGTTCAAAATCTAATGAAGGATACTGAGCAACTAACCTGATGAAGTTTCAGCTAAGCTTCAGCTGTACATTCCGAGAAAAACAGCATTCTAAGATCTCAATTTCAAATCAAAAGTTGTGAATCATGTTTTGAATTGTTTTGAATTGCAACTATACGCGACGTCGCGCACTGATCGGACGAATTATAACAACTGCGCGCGCGTGTGCGTCGTTCGAATACTTGTGCGCGCTGCGCTGAATAACAAAACGAACTACTAATTTAAATTTTCCTACGGTGCTTCTTAAGAATCACCGTTGGAAATGCCTTCTTTCGTTGATTACTTCAAAATGACAGCTTCCCAGAAAGAGTAATTTCACAGGGAGTTTAGTCTCCTTACTATCTTTCAACCAAGTTAGTTTTTCAACAATAATTACGCCAGTTACTTTTCGGATGGCTGCAAATGATGGACTCTACCTTTAATTATATCGTGCGCAAAAAAAATAATTAATTCAGGATCTAAATTGCCTGAGAACTTTAATCAAATAACCATTAATTTTTCCCTCCAATCTTTAAGGCTGAAATAACCTTGAGTTGCCTTGATTGCTACAAATGCCTTGTAAAAATGTCCAAAGTTCTGTTGTGTTTTAAGTGTAATTGTAAAGCTAAGAATTGCTGTTTTAGTTTGTAGGTCTGTGGATATCTGCAACTTGTTTGCAACCTGTCTTCCGTGTTTGTTCAGAGAGAAAAATACTATATTATGCTGTTGTGGGCTAAGTAGATATTTTGTAGGGGAAAAAAATCTATATGTATTGTATTCTTAGCTATTTTTTCATTATTAAAAATACTGAAACGAAATCTGGAATTGTTTTCTGAGTGCACTTGTTTTTCTTTTTCCCAGCAAAAATAGGATGTATCCCAAAACTTGAGACAGTGAAAACTCCTGCTGAACAAGAAAACTGAGTGGTGCATAAAATAACTAGTCCAACCTACATATTTGTTTTTTGTATTTCTATATTTCATAAGTACTGCATGATGTCAAGCAATCTGGTACCTGGTCTGGTCCCTGTTGTACACAACTTCTTTGTAGTCATGGCACCAGACTACTTTGGTTTCAAAATTTGAAACAGTTGGCTTTACTCCATGGGACCAAAAATAGTGTTGAAAAGAACTCTTCTTTGGACATTTGGAAAATTGAGACCTCAAACATGGCTGGTAAAATACAAAGGACTTTATCTTGACCCTGTGGACATGTGGGAGAATTGTTGTCAGCTTGTGGGTGAGTAGGCCCTACTATATTATTGTGAGTTCCTGTACTGTTTTAACTGTTTTATGGATATGCATCTGAAGCGCCCTGTACTGACAAAGCTGAATTTGCTGGAATTGGTCAAATCATCATTTTCTGTTCTGAAATAATTGCTTATGTTTAAGGCTTTTTTAGCTGTTTCAGGGTACATGCTCCGATACAACTTTTTTTTAGCTGTTTCAGAGTACATGCTCCGAAACAGCTCTTGTTTTTTTCCCTCTTTTTTCCCTCTTCCCCCCCCCCCCCCTTTTTCCCCCCTTTTTTTTCCCTTTTTCAGACTTCTTTCCCTTATGTTCACGTTTTCTTCCACCCAAAAACTTTGACACTTTCGCAAATCCGATCGACTTCAGACTTGGCACACACTTAGGCCACCACTTGAAGATGTATGCCGAAGATTTTCGTCACGATTACATAAATCAGGTGCCAAGTTATGTCACATTAAAGGTTCATTTTTCAAAGCCCTATACATGTATGTTCTGAAGTACAAGTCTGATTGGGTTGAATCGTTAGTTGGTATATAGACAGGAATGGGTTCTAGATGTGCATTTAAGTGACGTCGTGATGACGTCATCACGTGTCACATGACCTCACATTAAAGGGGCATTTTCTGAGGCCCACATCTAGAGGAATAAAGGTCCACCTCGGTTGTACTTGATAGTGTTTATCATTGTTATGCATTAAACATATTTAGTGACATGAATTCACGCTGAAACATCACATCACAGAGGCTGACAGAGCCATTTTAAAAACAGACAAAACAGCTTGTGGTCGTACACAAACACATCTGTAGTATTCCTCCTAAATACTCCATATTGAGTTTTAACTGGAGAAACTGTTTTTCTTTTATTTCCAAAGATAAAACATCTTCCCATGGCCCTATGACAACCAATGTACACAATCTTCAAGTACATTCTGAAGAAAATCGTGGAGGGATTCCCCAAAGTGTTTCCTTTCCCCCACCCAACAGATGCCCCCTCCCCCCCCCCCCCCCCCCCCCCCAGTTTTTCCCCAACACTTTATCTACAAATAGAGTAATTATGTCTATTTTGTTCGCTGTGAAGAATAAGATACATACATGTAACAAGTTGAAGATAGAGAGTGAATCATCGGTTCTGTGGACACATTTTGGGCCAATGAGAGCATTATAAACATTGGTACTTTGGTAGACAAAACACGCCACACATGCATTTATGAACCCGAAGATAATCAGCCAACGTCTTTGTACATTTGTTGTACATTTGTTATACACCATTCTGCGGTTTGATACATTTCTCATTCAGAAAAAAGACTACACTCTACTTATTTCCAGACCATTGACTGCCCCCAACAAATATTTCCTTGCCCCCCCCATCCCCCCCCCCCCAAGTCTATGGTCTATTATGCATGTTATGTGTGAACAAATTCGCTGATTAATTAGGCAAGGCCCCGCCTCTTGACCTCCTAGATTTTGACCAATCAGCGGGTGCTTTCTATATGTGCCATTCACCTGTTGCGCGTCATAGACAATGGATACAAAAATTTGTGACACGCTCTGTATCATGTTACGCGATATCGCACCTGCATGCTGTTGTTGTATCACAAAACACTGCATTCGAATTGACCATCAAACCATTTAGTCCCGATTTAGGAATGAAATGACATCGCGGCTTGCATATATCTGCATGTCTAGACATATTAGAGCAGAGGTTATACAGGACTTGGTTCAATGGATAACAGGTAATACTCAGACTACCCCCCCCCCCAATTTTTTTTTTTTTGAGAGTCTGGCGCCGCCACTGGCCCCTTTCAAATGTAAAGCTTACACATTTAAGTGATGATATCTTACCAGACCAAATGATGCTGACTATTTCTGATCGCAATCCGGCCAATTACGTACTAGTCTTATACCAGCCGCGCCAAAGGAGTTCAGCTGAAGTTCACAGACAAAATACGACCAACGACTGGTCATCAAGTCTAGGGGGGGGGTCTCTTTGGCAAATAACCTTTTACTAATTTCTAGAACTTATTAAACCAAGCCCTACATGTACCCCAGACTATATCTAGGCCAGTGGTATTCCTTTTCGAGTTTTGTTTAAAAGACTGAATTTTTTTTAAAATAAACAACGCATTGAAATGAATTCCACCACAACACTCGTTCTTTCTTAGCTTAAATCTTTATTTCTGTCATTATGGTATTAGATTTACAAAGGGTTTCGTACTCAGTATACACAAGGAAGAAAAAAAGAAAATGAAAAATGAAGAACAACTTAAATCCAATACATACTTGAGAAATATATACATAGTGGAGTAATTGGGGTTTGAAAACCTGACCATGTGTTTGAATATCTCAATTTGGTTACATGTACATTTGTTCTAAGCTGGTACTAATGAACAAAATTTCAAATTTATAGTTTTCTGTCAATACATGTCAGGATACATTTCTTTTGAATGTGAATCAAATAGCTACATTATAAATGTATGTGTATTATGTATATGTGTCTCACAGGCACATTTTGAGGTCATCGCACTTGACGTACAAAAAGTAAACATGTATTTACATGAAACAACTGAAAATAAGGGTCGGGCTGTGACCCAAGTAAAAGATGACACACGCATTCAGATGTAACATTTAAGGTTCTTATGAACAGGGCCCAATTTCATGGCACTGCGTAACAGTTAGCGGAAAAGTTTGGCCAGTCACAAGTAATATACATTGCATGACATTTTGGCTGGTAACCTGTTTTTTTGCTAAGCAAATGTTTCCATGCTTAGCAGCTTTGTGAAATCGGCACCCACAGAATCTCCTTTCGAGAAAGCCACTGAGTACTACACAGTTTTATGTACGCATGACATATTTAGTATCTTACAATGAGAATACGTCTAAATCTTGTTTCATCTCAACACATGAAAAATTTTGAAATATGTGTCTTGAAAAAAAAAAATTCACAAAGACATTGCCTGTTTAAGCACATTGTTAAATTTTGTGTAGACTTAATTAGCATCCTTAGTAAAACAAAATTAGCAGTGGAGAACACTAAATGTGCACTTGTTTGACCAGTTTTCGTTATTGAACTTTTAATACACGTTGGATAGTTATCACTCTTGATTTTGAATCTATCTCCCAGAATTACCACCTCCTACAAAACCACTTCAAAAATCTGCGTTCTAACTTTTAACTTGCATCAATATAGCAAATCACCAAAATGGCTTATTACTTTACTGGAAAAAAAAAGAATATAGATACAGTAAGACCAAATTTGTGTACATTACATAGATTTACATTCTAATAATAATAATAATAATAGTGTATTTATAAAGTGCACACATCTACCATGTGCTTGATCATACCCCTGTTCGTCAAGCCCACAAAGCAGTGTGGGTGGTTTATCAATGTTAACTGAAGTTTATACGGCGACTCCGAAAAAGTAATGTTGGTTTGGTAAGACAAAAACAGATTTTTTAACATGGAAAACCCTACAGTTCATTACAAACATGATCGATAGACTTCATTTTCTAGCAAAATTGGGAAAAAAAATCCCCCAAACATTACGCAAATCACACCAACTGCCCTCAGTCAAGAATCTTTTTTTTTTCCATTAATTTCAAAAATATCACTACTTCAAAATACGTGACACAAAAACAACTCAAAACTCTTGTATCGTGCCAGTGTTTTCTGCTTATTCTTAAAACACTTGAACCTCCAATAATTTTAAAAGCAAACAATATACAGAAGCCACAAGAAGAAGTTAGGAAAAAATTAAAATCAGCTCGTGTCCCTTCTACACATACTTTGGGTTTTTGTTTTTATTTCACCAACTTGAACAAAGCTGTGAGACCCAAATTTAAAATTATTAAATTTATAATACAGTCAGGAATTACAAATCAAAAATAAATGTATGGAAACCTACTTTTTCTTTGACACTACACTTTATAGTTTCTTTTTAACATGCAACGCAAGTATATACAACCAAATATAGGGGAGATGGATTTTTCCACAGAACTACCGGTAGATGTAAAAAAAAAAGACCAGCGCATCAGTGTGTGTGCAGACCTACGGAAACATCAAATTTTTTCAAGAGCATCCAATTTGCTTGACGCAAACGATGCATGAGAATGCTTTTTTTCATTGTTTTTTATGAGAACGCATCCTGAATGAATGTAGTATTAAGAAAGAATAACGCGATATCAAGCTGCACTTGACACAAACCTTCACATTTTTACAACGCCTTAAATACATACAGGATTTTTTACATGTTATACCGAGTGTCCCATGCTCTGCATCTGTTGAATACTGTGTAAACTCCTTCATAGGACATCCCGCACAGGGGGATACAATGTACATGTATACGTACTCGGCAATTTAAATGCCAGATACTGGGGTGCGCTCCAATTACGCGACTAGTACCAACGTTTGCCAACAATTGTGCAAGTGGGACTCACTATTTGTCACCAACGTTGGTGAACGTTAGCGACAAAGGCTAATGGCCTCCCAAGTTGTATGCTATGTTTCCCAAAATGGCCGACGCACACAATGAATGTAATGATTTTGTTGAGGGCTGAAGTTAGTTCATACATCAATGACAAGAGTTGACGTCTAGTCACACTTGCAGGATTGGCATACAGGGCACCGCCATTTGACAACAGCCTTTTGACAACATTACCGCTGCATATAAGGCTGACTCATTCACAGAGCCTAACAAATGTACACATGTCCAAGTAGTTTACTGTGACTGTGTTAATGTAGTGCACTTTCCTCAGTGTGCGACAAGTCTTCTAGACTACATATAACCTGTGATTACAGTACATGCAGGTGCATGTATAAAAAAATAGTGCTGTCAACTCTCACAGAGTCAGGTTGGCGCAGTGGTTACTTTCCTCGCATTCCACTGCTGCGACCCGGGATCGATTCCTGCCTGGGCCAACATGTGGATTGGGTTTTCAGTCCATGCCTGATTCTGTGGGTTTTCCCCAGAATATTCTTCTGGGGTTTTCCTCCCGCCTCTAAAACTGTAATTTCTTCTCATTGTCTTCTTTCTACAGGTTTCCTCAGGCTTTCGAGCTCAGTGCATAGGGCACTTTTGCGGAATCCTTGGTATTATAATTAGCAGAAAGATTTGTTTTAAATGATAATGGAAGGGCCTGGAACAAGCCCTCATAAATTGGTGAACGACACACTATTGAAACTCAAGAGCCCTTCACTAGCACTTGTTGGGCTACCGAACACCTTCTTCAGTTCATACATAGTACTCATGTGCTTGAACAACACGCAGTAAACATACATGTACAATGTACCCTGGAAAAAATATTCAAAGTGCATGCACCACTGAAGTACAAGAAAGTTCAACTATTGACAAATCCAAAACTAGCACTGAAACTGAGGCGCTCAGTGCTAAGCCATTGTACAATTTGAGGACCCGGTTTTTTTTTTTTAATCCTCTCAACAAAAGACAGCACTATTGAAATTCCTCTATTGCAAACTTGCTCAATGGTTGACCAAGCACGTGAAGATAAACGGACATGTACATTGTACATGTATACATGTACAAATTCAGTTAGGGTACATGTACATGAACTGCACAACAGAGGATGTGACTCAGCAACGAGTCTAAATGCACATGTACATGTACATGCATGCACAATTGTGTGGACCTTTCAGTTATATTTTGTGATTATTGTGAAACAACTTATGTGTTCAAACATGGAGGACGGAACACCAAGTATGTAAAATGAAAGTAGCGGAAGTATTCTCACCACAGAGTTTAATATTAACCAGTTACGTTCCTTTGTGGCAAACACAGTAAGCAATGTAAACAGTTTGGAGTCATTACCAATGTCCGTTTTTTTTACAGCCAATTTTCCCGTTCTTGAGTTTAACTTTACACAAGATTTTTTAAATTTTTTTATAAAACAGCTATCTTACAATGCACTGAATACTCCATCACTACAACTGACCAGGTTACCTCATTAGCCTTTACCTTTGTTTTATTTTTGGAAGCAAAAGAAAATTAAACAAATAAATAAATTTGAAAAAAAAAAAAAGATCTAGTAGTCAAATCCTTAAACCAATAACATCAACTAATTGTAAGGGGAGAATGCAAAACTGAACAGGTGATCACTTGAGGTTCACCTCAACTTTTTTAACAATTTTTTTTTCGGGGTTTATTGGGTACATCAAAGGAGTTTTGTTTACTCCAAACAATTCTGCACTGCAAAATTTTAAAAAATGTTCCAGTCTTTATCGATTCATGTTCCACCAGTTCACCACCGACAGTATACATTCGTTATTTATACATGTACATAAATAAACACACAGGGGCAACCATTTTTGAAAAAATTGAAAAATTTGAGCACCTTAAATTTCTTATTCCTAAATACCCTTTTTCCCAAGAAACTCATTCATACGTGTATCACATTTACCACATTATTGTAAATAATTATAGTAATAAAAATAATAGTTGAGCATGTGTGTGTGTGTGTTAAACACATGGGCAAAAAGAAAAGAAAAATCTTCTTTAGTATATAAACAGCTGACCCTATTTATGTACATTTTCCAATAGAGGTTTTAATTCAACTCTTTCAACTACACCTGGCGCAATGGGCGCTGAATAAACATAAGCGGACAAAACGACCAGATGTTCCTATTATTTTTATTAAATACATGCACATATATGTAGAGGTTAGTGGGTAGAGTTAGAAATTGGTTGTATTTTAGAGATAATGCATTTTTCTGTGCCAAGAGGAAAATGACTTTTACAATAAAATATTGAATAGTAATTACTGCATTTTCTGTAATTATGTTATCACACAATGAACTGGACGATCATCTGTGCAAAAGAATAGGTACTATTACTATACTGCAGATAAATTTGTAAGTCCAATGGCATATGCACAGCATAAATAATGCACATGTGTGCACATATTTACAATTATCTTTTGAAATTATCTTCAAGGTTGCTAGTTTTAGAGAAGGGAAACATTCACAAATGTATGTGGTTTATTTACAGAGAATTTTCTATAAAATAGGGAACTATTTCCGTTAAATTTGAAAATGTATGAAAAAAGGCATGCAACTGGGAATTTAGAAAAACAAAAATGTGTAAATTCCAGACCACACAAGACTTTGTACAGTGTTTTTCAATTTGTAATGGCATTCAGGAGAAGTTAAAAAAAAAGAAGAGGAAATCAACGGATTCGAGGAAAAGTTGCATGCCTGTTGTTTTTTTTAGCCAAGACCCATTTTGGTATCTGGTTGAATTTTAATAGTTGACTTTACACGGATTATGTTACCTGTTCCTGTTTATGAATGTAATTTTAATTTTTTACAAAAAGAAATAAAAGGCCCTCAGGTACATGTACTTAATAAGTAAAATAGAAACTCTGGATTAGAAGAATTCAAATCGGGAAATTTTGTCCATTGGTCCTTTTTCGGGGATAATATTTTGAGCTAAATTTACGAATCTTGGAAGTGTTGTCAACTGAATCACAAACTTTTTAGTTCAACTAAAAGGTTTTCAAAAAAAAAAATAATAATAATATTTCTATCATATCAAACAGCGATGCAACAACATTCATAGTTCCAGTAATATCTACCAAGGCATCTTGTGCATAAATGATCATTTTGCAACCAAAACCAAAAAACCCACAATCTTGTTGCATCATTTTCACTTCATCAACTTATTCGGTTCCCAACTTTTTTTTTTTAACAATAAACTATTCTATGCAGAGTTGAGAGAAGACAAGTTTTACTCCCACTTCATGAAAAAAAAAAAAAACTCTAAGTACAAGTAGGCTTACGTTAACGGAGATCATTTGATGAAAGCTGCAACAACGGCCCACATTACGTCGTTGACGCCCGGCTTGCCTATCTGGGCGTCGGGATCCAGGTCTAGGAGTTCACGCACTCGCTTCATCGCCAACTGAAACGCAAAGAACAACAGAAACTTGATCATTCGTTGCATGTATGCTACAGATTGAAGTGGACAAGAAATCTGATTTAAGGCCGGAAAATACTTAGTCTATGATATGACAGCAGATTTGCTGATTAATTAGGCAAGACCTCTAGATTTTGACCAATCAGTGAGCGATTTCTATATCGGGTCATTCACCCATTGCGCGTCATAGACAACTGAAACACAAAGAACAACAGAAACTTGATCATTCGTTGCATATATGCTACAGATTGAAGTGGACAAGAAATCTGATTTAAGGCCGGAAAATACTTAGTCTATGATATGACAGCAGATTTGCTGATTAATTAGGCAAGACCTCTAGATTTTGACCAATCAGTGAGCAATTTCTATATCGGGTCATTCACCCATTGCGCGTCATAGACAATGGATAAAAAAAAACTGTCATGCGCTCTGTATCATGTTACGGGATATCGCAGCCAGCTGTTGTATTACAAAACACTGCAATCGAATTGACCAATCGAACAATTTAGTCCTGATTTGGGAATGAAATGACGTCACAATTTAGTAAAGTTGACTCCGATTGGCTGGCGTGTGGCTTGCATATCTGCATGTCTAGACATATCAGACGTTATACAGGAGACTTGCTCCATGGATAACGAAAGACTCATAAATACTTGGTTTTTAAAGCACATATCAGAAATTTTTGACATTGCTCTAACTTACTCTATGCAACTTTCTTAAAGTGGAACACATTTCAACTCCAGCAAATTTTGCCGTGCATGTTCCATGACATCATCTTTGCTTTGCAAGTGCATTCGCATGAAGTACGAGCTGGCCTTTATGATATCAAACTGTACATCATAACCATGTACATGTAAATTATGTACATGTAAATTATGTACATGTAAATAGAAAGTTAGTGGTAGTGCTATGCATTTTTGAATAACTTAGTATCTGATTATTCCATCTTGGCATTGATCGCATATTCAAATCATATTCAATTTTGAAATGTACCGGGTGAAAAAAATTCATGCGCCAGCTTTAATCGGCTGCCAATTGGGATTTGCATGCACCTGCACTTGTCAAACATTCTGTTCGGATATATTGAGTTGATGGTCGAATATTCCAATGTTTCATATATTTGACACAGCCCTAGTTAATAAAAAGATACAGTGCAAACTATACTGTTGGCATTTAATGTTGGTAGTTTCAAATTGCAGACAGTCAGCCATGCTCATCTCTTCCAGAAATTGTTGGGAAATTGTACAATTGCAGTTGTCCCTTCACAAATTAGCACCAACATTTCACCCACAAGATTTTCTTTTCTTTTCATATGTTCACATCTGTGAATGTATTCAAATGTGTGGGACAAAGAAAAATAATAACATCTATAATAAGCTTGTTCTTCTTGGCATTAAGGCATTTGCACACGTAAACCAACCACTAATACGAAATAATCATTTCAAGCACTTGGTTAAAACTTGCTGGAATCTGGAGATACATGTATGTAAATGGTTCATTATTTTATGCATGCAGAGGACTTTAATAATCCCTTACCACTTTGATCCTGAATATCTTGAGCTTATCAATTTCAGTTTTGTCCTTGGGACAGCTGTATATGTCTTATAGGGCTATCCATATGCTACCATTTACATATTTTTGTTAGTGTGTTGATTTGGATGTTTTCATTCATGATATCTACATTGCACTTGCATCTAATTGTAAAACAAAACTAGTACGCAAAGGAAGTAGCATCAGGGGAAAGTTAGTGCATGGTGTGCATAGGTCTCTCTTAAATGATGTCATTTCCTAAAGACCAGAAGTGGGCATCGGCGTTTTTGAGCGTCAACTTGCATAACACGCATCAGCTGTGTCATATTTCGAACACATTTCGAGCAACAAGCGCGCGGGAGCATGTTTGGAACAGTTTCAACAGTGCGCAATGCGTGCTTGATGGCGTAAAATACGCAGTTGCAGTTCTCCTACAAACCTAGAATCTAGTCAAATCCGAATCTAGTTCTCCAGAGACCTAGAATCTAGTCAAATCCGAATCTAGTTCTCCAGAGACCTAGAATCTAGTCAAATCCGTATCCCTAGCCATTTCCATGATGTCGTGATATACGTTTTTCAATGACTCATAAATGTCACCTCGTAATCTTCATCGGAGAGTGGCGCAAACGCATTTTCCAGGACGTCGGACGAGTGGGCCAGATAGACGAGGGACAGCAGGCGCTTCTCGATGCGGTGGGGGTTGTTGGGCCAGCGGCTCAGCATGCCGTCCTGCACCCGTTTGATGAGTCGCTGCTTGGCCGTGGTGTCCGTCAGTGGGTGCGTCGTCATGTCAAACAGCAGGAAGTTCTGTTTCTCCGTGGTCAGGACCCCCTTCTCTACCAGGTTCTTGGCCAGGCGTTCCCGCACGTTGCGCAGCTGGAAGCGCAGCTTGGCAGGGTTCCAAGTTTCACCTACAACACAAAAAGATTGTATAACGTGACCAGATCCCACAAAATGAGTCCAAAGGAAAGTCAGTCACTGATTGGCGTTTCACCTGCAGTAGGAAGTGTATAATCTTCATTTTGACATAGCACTCAGTTTGTTTCATTCAATATGCAGATATTGAGTAGGTTGAAAGGTTGACTGTTTCCACCATGTAAGATTATGTTAACAGGCCAATTACTCAAAAGGAGCTCTGGCAGGGATGTAGTCGAGTCCATCACAAGTCCCTGCAAGTCCATCACAAGTCCTCCAGTCCCAATTCAACTCACAAGCTATTCAAATGAGCTTTGACAAAGTGATTCATTTGTTATTGTTCATCCACAGTTATTTGTGATTTACATGTACTTGTGACTGGACTTATGTACTTGTGATGAACTGGCCTACATTCCCGACTTCTGGCGAATTTTGGAACTTGACAAACTAGTTCCTTTGGCAAAATTGAGGGAACTATTTTGACAACTTTCGATACTGAGGGGAGCTAATATCGACTGCCCACCTGAAACAAACCATGTTTAAATATACCTCAAAAACCCAGTTGGCACTATTTTGTACTTTCAGGAGCCTGGGAAAAGAAAAGCCATTTTTCCCACCGTTAAGTGGAAGTGGGGCGTCCGTACCTGTCCCTACGTCTTGCAATCCACTGGCATCCCGTGATATAGTTCTATACTGATCAGTAAAGCACACGCATAGTAGACTATCGCACGAGTGTCCAACGTAATAGTCCACTTAATAGTGGATCTTTTAAGCGACGTCGTAAAAAAAGGCAGCCACCACGTACACCACCCACAAAACATATAAGCAATACATGTACATAGTGCCTCCACTGCTTTTCACATTAAATTAGGGGCGGAAACATTTTAGACCAACTTTTCCAGGAACAAAATTGTTTGTGCCCCCCCCCCCCCTCCAAAAAAAATTGCGTTCTGGATCCAGCCTCGAGTCTACTGTATCACATGTACATTCCCCACGCAAATCTTTTGTGTGCACTTTATATTTAAAAGACAAAAGGAATGACTGGCATGTGATTGCAAATAAGGTGTTTCACGGTAATATGCCCCATCTTGGGGCAAAAAGAACAACTACAATATGGCTCTCTCCGTCGTGATTATGTATGAGGTAAAAGTAATTTCCTTCTCAATAACCCACCGCTGAGTAGTTCGATCCAGCCTTGCGTCGTCTCCATGTTACTGGTGTCTTTGATGAGTTTCAAGGCCTCGTCTAGTAGCACGTCACCAGTGGGCGTGTCCGATTTGCACAGGACCTTGCGATTTAATAGACTTCTCCGCCTCATGCCTGTCTTTTCAAGTTCAATGCGACCTTTCAGGCCCAATTCTATTAGCATGCAGCCGCGCAGGCCGGATGATATACAATCGTTCCAGAATGATGTGTACCCCTGTGGACAGAATAAGACATACCTTTGTTAGTGTTGCATGTGATCATTGCATACAAATTGTTTATAATTTATTTAAATTTATTATTATTGTTTTTACTGCAGCACCCTAACTCTGGATGTAGCAAGTTTACCCATCTCACTGGTTTGTTGTTTAAGGCCCAAAGGTGGGCATCATAATTTCATTCAGTGTAAATAAAAATATTTCCCTATTTTTTTCCGGGTACCAGTTTCTTATTTAAATGTAAATGATGATGGGGGGGGGGGGGTGGCGATCATGTAGTTACAGGCACCTCTTTAGTTTCGATCAAATTAGAGTCAAGGGTGTTTTGTATCCTTCAAAAATGAAGGATTTTCAAACCTAATGTCGTCTTCTCTCAATTCTAATGACATTTTCCCCAAATTCACATCTATGATCTTTGAGGTTTGAAATCACATTTTTACCCGAGTGGGCCCAACACCGGTAGGTACTGGAAAAGTCAGCAAGTTGGTCATTTATACTGGAAATATGTGATGTATATTTTCCCATTTCAAGAGCAAGTTTTGAGACAAAAATTCTCAACATTTCGGTAAGGATGTAGGATCCAGACGCCACTTCTTTGGTTGTAAATAAAGTCTTTGGAGAGTTAAGTGCATTTTCAAAGTATTTTGTAACAAAATTGGAAATATTTCTCAGTCCCAGATTCACGTCTTTTAAATATTTGTTTCAATGTGTGACCTTCACTGATAATATGATGAAAAAAGTGGCGTCAGGATACAACATTCCTTCCCAAGTTTATTCAAAAATATTATGTGCAAATTAGACAAACAGCAAATAGCAATGGTGCCCAACCAAACCCATACCAACCCAGTTTCCCAACTCAATTTATAGGACTGGGCATTGGGGAAAAAGTAACGTAGGCCTAGGCAGTTTGTACACAAAACAGCGATCGTGTAGTGTAGGGCCCGGTTCCTATAACTAAGGGAACAAAATCCACTTTTTAAGTTATTTGACCAACCAAACTAGTTGGCGACATTTAGAACATGATAGGTATGTCATACTCATAGATAAAGGGCAGGGTTTTGAATTTTTGAAGGAAATTCGAGGGTAAAATGACGATGATGACAAAACGCAACACGAAAATAAAGATGGCGATCACTGCGCGTCGTACATTGAGCACGCAAGTCACGCTGCACGGCACCAACGGGCCGTAAACCGCGCTGGAAAATCGTAATTTCTACCCCAAGAAACTGTTCAAAAATTACCAAAAAGTGTCATTAGATTGAGAAAAGTCTGCTTTAGCATGTTTAGGTTGACAATGTCGAAACAAAACAGGGGCCCTACACGTAGGGCATGTAGGGGCCGTTGACTGTCAAACATCATCACATGCACCTCCGAGGCAAAGAATATGTTACATTCCCAATCAAACGATTTAATGTTGTGTGAGCTTTCCTCTTTAAAACCAAAACTTCTGAAGATGAATGACGCAATTCCAGCCGTCAATTCTGACCTCTTTATCTTTGAGTCCAAGCAACAACACTTCTTCCATGAGTGTCAATCTCTTCTCTTTCGACGAATCCTGGTCGAATTCCTCGTCCACTTCCTCGACGTCTGGTGAAAAGTTTTCCTCTTCATCGCCGCCATCTGCACCAGCCTTGTGTCTCTGGGTGAGATTCCCACCCCTTCGAGTCAGAGATGTCATGATTTTTGCGCCTTATTTCTGACGGAATGTGGGAGGAATTTCTAGCAAAACTTTCACTGCCGACTACGCACACACTTGCACGGCCGGAGGACAACAAATATGGCCGCTGTTCGTCTGTGACGAAAGCAGCTGCACATCCAAATATAGAGGGCGCTATCTTTAAAGTACGGTCCAAAAATATAGTCATGATCATACGACGGTCCAAAAATATAGTCACGATCATATGACAAACTCTCTGAGAAATTCGGCAAATTTGCCCCCCCACAAAAAAAAAACAATAAAGGAACACTAGTTACACTACAAGTTGAAAACATTACAGGGTTCATATGATGAAAGTTTCCGAGGAACACTTTTTGTGAAACTTTCTACTCCTCTCCTAAGTGTATGGAAACTATTTGACATTTCTTTTTTATTAATTTTATTGAAAAATGCACAATTTTTCCATGCTAGCCTGCAACTAGTTAAAATCTAACTGAAGGCGCGCGTGCTGTGAATTTGTTAATTGAAGAGTGACATTTTTTTGGCGAAAAAAATTGCTCATAGGCTTCATGCCATGTACTGACACAACAGAACCCATCAGCAAAGAAAAGAAATTAACCAGGATATCCAAAATTCTGGCAAAATCCGTGGTGCTGAAATAGCTGTAACATTGAGGTTTCTGCCTGAAACGGTCGACATCACACACATTTGCTCATGAATATGAAAATTTTCGTTCGCATAAAAAAACAAAAAGGCACCAAGATGAACTTGATATGGGAAAAAAAATGAAAATAAGATTATTAAAACGGGACACAAAGGTATATTTTTTTTTATTCAGCATTCTCTTGAAACAGCTAATGCACCGTACCGTTAAGTTTAACAGCGCCCTCTAGAAAAGTCTCACTGAGTGGCGTTTCTGAAACTTCGGCCTAGCTTCGGTCTCAGAGTCATGACTGTATAGTAAAACGCTAGCATTTCGCCAACAACTTACATGTCCAATCCAAGCATAGCGACTCTAAACATTTGGACTGTGAACAAGAATGTGATGTTTTAAATGCAGAATAGTCAGCCATAACAATATATCCAGAAAGTGACAACATAATTGACATCGGTGGAAGTGGAAGCTACGTTTCAAACGAAACCGATGTTTGAGAAAGATGCCAAGGTATGCGCATCTTTGCCCGCGTGATGGCGCGCACAGGTGTTGCTGTTTTGTGAGAGGCATTCAAAATGAATGGGATCTGTTCTGCTGCACGTGCAGCTGTGATTTTACAATCACAATGCGATGGAATGGCTGTAATACTGAACTTCCTGAAGTCCGCCATTTTTAAAGTTGTCTCGCCGTACTGTGGTCATGTTGTCGTGGAACTAAGCTGTTGTCATGGTTGTATCTCTGCTGACTTTTGAGGTGGTTTTGTCCGCCGTCAACCAAATGTTAAAAACCTGAAAACTGCAAGACGTTCATGGTCTGGTCGATCGTGAGTATTTAGCTGGGAGTGGGGAAGAATCGCATACCAAGGTTGCGATCATGGCGATGTAATGTGCATTCATAAAAAGCCCGGTGTTCGCAATCGCATGCACTTCCATACTAATCCTAAACCGCAGATCTGAGATTTCCAAACCTTATAAATTTCCCTCAAAAAATCAAAACCCTGCCCTCTGCCTGTATATTTTTAATGTCGCCAATTAGTTTGATAGGTCAAACATTTTAGTGGGTGTGTTCCCTTTTAGGAACTGGACCCATGGATACGCAATCGCCATTAACCATAGATCTAAGATTTTCTTATATAAGACTTGTAGGTGTTATAAGACTTATAGGTGTTTAAACATTTTGGATGTTGAGCATGTTGAGGAAGTGACAAGCAAGTGGTTACTCACATACATCAAATAACTAAGTGCATTTGTTTCATTTTGAATCTCTTGGAAGTGTTTAACATATTTAATTGGCTTGATCGAAGATAAATCTGATAATTGAACAATTATTGCACCAAAAATAGGGCTGATGGCTTTCAGGGACTTCATTCAATACTTGCAACATATCTGTCTCTGTAATGTTAGTCTCATAAAGTCATAGGTAGGGTGAAATAATTTTCTTAAGGAAATAATGCTGGGTTTCTTTTTTTAATAGGGCCCAAAGAAATATTGATTTTGTTTCATATAAAATTTCCACTGTTGGGAAATACAGTTTAATTGAGAAATAAATCCTTGGTTTGAATTCTTCTCCACTATCATGAATAACAATTCATGTTAATTTTATGGAAGAGAAAAAAATCATAGTCTCTCAATTGAGGAAACCTGATTTTGTTTAAGACATTAATTTTTTTATGGCTGTCTCATTATCCTAAAATAAAAAAGAACCATTTACAAAGCTATAATTCTGGATTATTTGATTCGCTTCATGTTTTTACATTATGAAGCAGGCCAACTGCTTCATGTAAAAACATGAAATGTTGCAGGCCAACTTGGAACCTGTTATCTTTTAAAATAATGAATGCTTCCTAGGCCGTCTGAAGTATTTTTCAGTTGTGGCCATACATTTTCAAGTTCTTATTAATTAAAATAAGAACTTGAATGGAGTGTACATGCAGAAACAAATTCAGGATAAACATTTCCAAGATTCTGGATAGAAATTAATAAACCCATGAATGATTCTAGCGTAAGGTTGATGCAATGGCCAGTTGTACTGTTACATGTTAATTTTATCACTTTTAATTTTTACTCCTTTTTTGGTCTTGTTTTTTTTGATCGTGCTTTTATGTATGATCAACTTGGATGGGGTTTGTTAGTTTTAGTGATTTTTTTTTAATTAACATGCATTTTTTATGTAATTGTCCTTAAGTTTACTCGTTTTTAATAGCTTATCGTTGTTCTTTTTTTGTCTTGTCTTTGTTTACATTTTGTGAGGGCCCAAAATGGTCAGCTTCTGCTGGATGGGTTACCCTCATTAAAGATGGTTTGAAATAAACAATTAATGAAGTTCTGTTCACTATAGGGTGTCAATGGGTACATTGAATTATTGAAAGTAAGCTGAAACAAGAAGCAGAGGGTGAAAAGAAACAAAAATCCTCTGACAAAAGATACTTTCATAAATGCAATTTAGCCAGTTGATCTTTGCACATCAATTTCAATAAATATATAAACTCAATAAATATATAAAATCTGATATCAAAAAAGTAATTCCATCCTTTGCAGGCTGAGTGTCAACATTAGACTGAAATCCACAGGCAAAAGGGGAACTATGTATTGGTGGAGTGAAAAAATTATGGATGTGACCAAATTTACACTTTTAAACATTTAAAATGATGAAAAATTATGAATCTATCTGCAAATTTTCCAAAACAGCACTTGATTACATTCAGGCTACAAATTTATCTTTTTAGTGATTTCAATGACAGCCCTCTTTTTGTTATGTTACTCATTTTTATTTATTGTGTCGATCACGTTGGTCTGCATCATGGGCAGTCGTCAGTCTTTGTGAAATGGCTAAACATTGATTGAAGTGGTTCTTAATATTTGCTAAACATTTAGGAAATAAAATGTCACATCCTTAGAAGACATTGGAGGAGGAGGTCTAAGAAATTGGAGGAGGAAGGGAATCGGAGGTCTGTGGATGTTTGAGCTACTACGTACATGTAGAGGGTAACAGATCTCTGATGTTGATGCTGAAGTTTTGTGGAACTATCTTCTGTTTGCTGACCTTCATTGCTTGACAGACAGAGCATGGATGTAGCTGCTTGATTCTCATGATGATGGTGTCCCTTTTGGTGAGTGCTGGACGTTCACTGATTTCCTGTACTTCTCCCCATCTGCCATGTGC